CTTATACATATAAAGTACGGGCCTATAAGGCCGGCATGATTCTTTATATACTCGAAACATAGGGCGACAAGGCCATACAAGTATCCATATACATGACATCTGTCTACAAGCCTCTAAGAATACATAATATCATAAAGGTCGGGACAGGGTCCCGCCATACCAATCAATACATGTACTAATCATACTGACCAAAGAAGCCACTTCGGAGCAAATGAAGCGCACCAACACCTTCCGCTGAGCTGATAGCCTACTTGGAGGACTCTCGACCTGTCTATCAGGACCTGCGGGCATGAAATACAGCGTCCCCAGGTAAAAGGAACGTTAGTACATATAATGTACCGAGTATGTAAGGAATAAAAATCAGTAACTAGTAGACATGAGAGAAACATGGAGTAAAAGACTCAACATGTATATCTGAATAACTTTGTGAATCATTTAGTATTATAATATCATGCATATGCGTATAAATGTCATACCATGCATGGGTATATGCGTTCATAACATCATCAAGTCTCTGAGGGCATCCCATCATATCATCTTGGCCACTATGGGCAAATCATCAATGTATACCAGCGCTGATCAGGTGGTGGTGCGTATATAATGCCATAACCTTTTCCCATATCCCGTATAAATATATATACATATATACACGTATATAATGCCATCTGGTCATGGGTCAATGTACATGAATGCAATGCATGAGAAGTACGTCAATAAAATCTCTTGGAATGTCATAAGACCGTTATGCCTTCGAGTAATATCATGAAGTAAACTTTTTTTTCAACTTACGTATTTTTCTGAGACCCATGAACAGATAATAGAATAATATGACACATGGAAATTCAAGAACATAGGCACCTCTAATACTTCTATGAATAGAGTCATTAATGGAAGTTGTGCATTCTCTCGTTTCGTTGGTGTCGTATAGATCATGCCAAAAGAAAGAAGGGATAGCCTTAACATACCTGAGCCGGTTCTCTGGACAATCCTTCTAACATATGACAATTGCGACAAAACTCGCGACGGCAAGATCGGAGTAGGGCAAAATCCGTATGATATTCCTGAGAAAGATTGTACCGTGCTCTCTCCGAATCACAAAATCCCGTTGCCATTATCTTATGAAATTTCGTATGAATTTTTGGTAAAAAATTCCGTATGATCACTTATGAATTGATCTCAACCTTGTGCGCTGTCAAAGGTTGATACGCTACATGTATCTAATTAAGGGAGCTCATCGTTGAATTGCTGAAATTCGCAATGATTGAGTCACTGGTCATTTTTGATGGTTCTCCAATTCTGCTGATACATAGCTCATTTTGCTCAGGTAAGTTTTTTTTGCTATCATTCTGCATGACATTATGATTTTTGTTTTATACACACTTTCTGCCAACTGCTAAATTATTAGCCTATCTACATTTGGGAAAAGGTTTATGTTGAAGATGGTATTGTAAGAAGCTTGTGTTCATGTATAAGGTCGTACTGCTTACATATAGATTATTGACTTGCACTTTACACATTTTGCACGAGCAATCATATAACATGGATGTGAGCAATCAGTAAGATATTTCTTTAAAGGTTGACACCTTGCAAAGTTATGCAAGAGTCACATAATGACTCATGTAGGGGCTGCCACGTTTTTTTTGGCTTTGTCTTTATCCAAAGATTTCAATTAATCAACCACTAATTATTAATTAACTTGTTAATTCCCTCATTATCCAATAATTCACATGATTACGGATTATCTCAAATTACTTAAAATACTTACTCACTTTTAACATACCTTATACACCTTACTATTATGGTCATGTGGTACCTTGTATGACACTAGTCCATAAATATCGGGTATTTTAGCTCGGGCCATATTTTATCCCAAATTGTCAAACTTGACGAAATTCACTTTCTTCGACTTGCTTACCCTCTCACCTTCACGAACTTACTCATCACTTGTCTGAAATAGCATAATGCTTATAATCTCAAAATAATCTCATTCACGAACTTACGTCGATTAACTTACGACGAAACTTTAACATACGAAAATGCGGTATGCAACATCTCATTTCCGAGCTTTCATCAATTTATTTATGGCGTACTTTCACGTACGAAAATATGGGGTGTAACAGCCTCACCAGTGTTGTTCTCTCTTTCTTCTCTAACTTATTACACAGCAGATCTAGTAGAGCTACAATGTTTGTTTGCAGTAGAACAAAGAGAAGGTATTTGGTTCAATCAAAGTATATTTGTCTAAGCCTTAAGGATGTGTATAAATACTTTGTAGGAGGCCGTTTGCAGAAGAGATTTGACAACCCAAGAGATTTGATCATTGGGAAGAGATTGATTCTTTCCAAGAATAAGGTTATTTGTTGTTGCTCTTCCTTGATGAGAGGGCATTGATAGCTTTCCTTCTACAGATCTTGATGAGCGAGTTTTACTCCTTGATTGTTGGTTCTTCCGAAACTAGCAGCTTGCCGTTGCTCTTCCTCATTGATAGCTTTCCTTCTACAAGCTTTGATAATGTGGGTTTTACTCCTTGATTATTGCTCCTTTTGAAAATAGCAGCTTGATTGATTATCTAGCAAGATCTTCGATTGCTTCTTTTCCATTTAAATCAATCTCTGATTGATTGCGAATCTCCAGATGGTTAATTGATTTCTTCCTCTTGATTCCTTCAATCTTGGATGCTTCCTTGAGTTCCTATACCAAAAGCAGTTATATCTTTTTCATCATTAAAACTGAAACCTAACACAACAACATTTAGAAATCAACAATATATAAGCTAGGTACTCGTACTTATAAAAAATTAAACTTGTCCAGTACTCTCTGTAACTCATGATTCGTATTTGATAACTAGTTTCCTTTAAACTGCTTCTTACGTTCATTACTCATATCCTACTTCCCTTAGCTTTAGGAAGTTCATGAAGTTCATGTCTATCCTAGGATGTGTATGACTATCGTGTGGCCCTATTACAATCTAATTCTACAACTTATATAACTTTATCTTCTTCTACTTTTATGTTACCATTCGTTGGTTAGCTCATTTGTCCAAAATCTTTAATCTACAAGGGGACTCGTGTTTAGGCAGCTTATTACCTTTCTTAACTTATATTTCGTTCTCCCTAACATTAGGGAGGTTATGGCTATCTTTATTTAACTATCATGATCTGTTTCTAGCGATTAAGTCATTCTATCGACTGTGCAAGACCTCTAGCTCGTTAAGCCATTTATAGGTAACAATCAATCAGAGAATACACTTCTGATCTTATATACAATACAAGCTTCCCAGAGCTCTACTCATTTCTAGGGAATATTCATGAAGTGCAACTCCAGATAGCTTACAACTTATCTATATTAACGTCATAAACTTATAGACGGCCTTAATTCGTCGACAAAGAGCATACACAAGAACTTGTCCCTAATTCTCTTATAAGGGTGGCATGACTTACGAAATCATGACAAAATAAGGAAGGAAGACCTTACATAAATCAAACGTAGCTATTCTTCACGATTCCACAAATGACTCATCAACACGCTGGTCTACAAGATGAAACTATAGCTTTTATCAATATTAAGAACATATCGATAGCCGACGAGCGGCAAGCTTGCTTATACAAAATCGGGCAGCACTTTCCCTACGTCTCTCTACTTTCCCCAAGCCCTTAACAACAACAAAAAACAAGAACAACATTAACCACGTCATATCCAAGTTATTCCACCTATTTCCAGCAACAACACATCACAAACATGGGTTCAAACCAGTCTACTACAACATAACACTTTAAATAAGATTTCTGACCTTTATCTCATGAGTTCTTAATCAAACAACACTTCAAAGACTTCATTAAACTCTTACACATGTAGGAGAGAGTGAGCCTTACCATAGATGCACGAAATCATCCCCTTTATACCTTACTTCAACTCGAGATAACTTCAATCTCACCACAATAAGGGAAGAACAAGTTTTCTCTTACACTTGTATAATCTCCATGGGAAAAACCACTTTAATTTCTTTTAGAACTTTACTTGAACGGTTGGAGAAGGTCTTGGGAGCTTTTTATGAGCTTAGGGTTCAGTTTTGGGCAAAAAATGGGGTGGTAAAAGGGTTGTATCGCTTTAATAGAAAGGTGAAACTTTCCACCACCTCTGTGGGTCCTAATGGGGCAGTCTACATAGTCTCGCAAAAATATAAATATTTGTCTACTACGATTTTGTATCGGTGAACGGTTTAATGCATTGCAAAGAAGACTCGTAGAACTTCAATTTGGTGGGTGGATGACCTCGTAACTCCAAGTATATTGGGAGAAAAGCTCATTGACATTAGACCTAAATTTCAATAAACTTATAAACGTAACTTGCGATAACTTTTGCCGACTTTTGTTTTACAACTTACTTGACTTCAAAACTTACATATCACTATTATATGATTCAAATACCTCATAACATGACCTTCTTACCATCTTAAACGCTCCTAATCTTACCTCGAAAGTATGAGTTATAACATTCCCAATTTGCCAACTTTGACGAAGTTGTTTTTTTCACTTCGTTTAGCCTCCAATTTTTACAACACTTGCTTATCACTTGCTTAAACATCATAAACACTTGTACCCTAAAAGATAATCTTATTCTCCCGGCTTATGTCGATTAACTTAAGATGCACTTTGACGTATGAAAATACGGGGTGTACATTAGCTCACTCACGACACCAACAACATAAAGGTGCAAAGTGTAACGTACTAGACATGAGGTTAAGTGCTTGTAATTAACCTCAAAAGTATGTCTCGTACTTACATAGACTAACTTACAACGAACATGACGTACAAAGACCGCGACTCATAGTGTAATTCGTGTTCTTTATACATGTGATTGCACTATTTGGCTAGTGAAATAAATACGGATAATCTTGGGAGAACGGTGTGTTCTTAATTGCTTGTTTTTCCTTTAATATAGTATTGTCATGATAAGAATAAAGAAAAAGTAATAATTCATCGAGCAAGAAGAAGAAGAAATTCGGTTCAACATTTTTTTTTCTTTTATTAAATATTCATGGTTAACAAAGATGCTGTCTTTGACATATTGTCCAACATAATATGTAACACATTACATAAAGATTAAAGACAGGGAAATGTGTAACCAGAAAAAAGATGCAACACAATGATTCAAGCTCCAGATAAGATGTCCGGTTCTTAATTTGGCATTCAAAAAAAGAATGAACCAGCAATGGCAACAGAGACAACAGTGGTGGCAATGGAGAAAAAGTCAAGGGTGCCAGTTGTGGCTCCACTATTTGGTGGTGATGGCAAACTTATGTTAGGGAAAGCATTTGCAGGAACTGGTCCACCAACTGGTGCAGCAGCTACAACTCCATTTTCCATGGTTCCATCAACGATACCTAAGACATAATATAAATAAGTAATTAAAAATGTGTTCATTCTTACTAGGGGTGTTCATGGTTCGGTTTGGATCGTTATTTTTCTAAAAAGAAACCAAACCAAGTAAGTCGATTTTTCAAATATTAGAACCAAACCAAACCAATTAAGTCGGTTTTTTCTCGATTCGGTTTATGTCGGGTTTTGTCGGTTTTTCGTTTTTTTCGATTATTTGTCGGTTTTTTCTTAAATATAAGACATACACTACCAAACACATATTCCGGCGACCACATTTTCGACGTAACACTATCAAATCAATTGCCCTTCACCAAATCTATTATTTACCAAAATATATTGATGATAATTGAATCAAATAGTGATGAATAATTTAAGGACTCAATTAAAAATATATTTTTTTAACATGAAATGATTTCTTACACTTAATAAAAGAAAACTACCAATCAAACTAGAATATAAAGGTAAAGAACTGCACTAAAAGTGCAAACGATTAACATTCACCATAAAATTTTTGAAACTTTGTATAAAAATATACATATATATAGGTGTAATAATAAATTTGGAATTTCTGAAACTTTGTATAAAATATACATATATATAGATGTAATAATAAATTTGAAATAGCTACTCCTATAGTCGGTTTGGTTCGGTTTTTTCGGTTATTTTTTGATTAAAACCAAAACCATTCCAAATTTGATCGCTTTTTAAAATTCAAAACCAAAACCAAACCAAACCAAAAAGTATCGGTTTTTTTGGTCGGTTTAGTTCGATTTTCGGTTTGGTTCGGTTTTTCGGGTTTTTATGAAGACCCATAAATCTTACAAATTAAGCCCATAAAACATTTCCATGTGTTTGACCCATAAATAAAAATGCAAGCCCATGTGAAGGGCCGTGTTGAAACATAACATAAGTAATTAAAAATGTGCGTAAAATATTTAGATGAGATGATCACAATTCAACAGTACCAATGACATCGTTATTTTCAACTGCAATCGGAGCGTTTGCGGCATCTTTCAAAGCTGCCGGGCCATCAATGGCTGAGGCCATGCACACCATGCCGAAGAAAACGAGGGCAAGAATCATGATTTTACGTGCCATTATATTTTATTCTTGCTAGAACGTACGCTTTCCTCTTAACTTATTGGAGAAATTAAAATATTGCAGTTGAAAAGGAAGAGGAAAATGCAGGGTCTAAATATAAGGATACATGGAACGTAAAAGTGGAAATGCATGGTCATGGTTTACCGGAGTCCAAGGGTAGCCATGAAAGGTTTTAAGATAATAACCACAAAAATAACTATTTATTATGTCATTTGACCAGATGTTTGATTATCTGAGTCCATGAATGATGCTACAACGTGAAATAAGAGTTGCTTTTTCTTATCAACAATGTTACTGGTTTCATTTAAAAAAAAAATTGAATTAAGTTTTGGAAATACAATCTTTTTTTTAAACTTATGAATGCCAAAAAAATAGAAACTTAAGCATGGATGTATGTACCAAACAAATAAATTTATTACCATAGTTAAATTAAAATAAATCTAAGAAACTACAAAATTAGAATAAAGCACTTCAAAATTTCATTGCGGGACTCATTGTCAATACGAGATAAAATAAAAGGAATGTTGGATTAAAATGAACCTGAGTCACAAAATCAACTTTTTAAGATTATTTCACGTAAAAATAGATGTCTATTCTAATTGTTTTATCTTTAGTCTTTACTCATGTAGTTAAATTTAATTACTAAACTTAATTAATACATAGGCGTTAGCATACGGTTCATGATTTGTGTAACATAAAAGGGACAGTTGTTCGTGGTTGTAATCTTTGTTCAAAATCGGGACTCTCCTTTCTATCGCTTGCCCTTGCCTTTCACTCTCATTTGGTCTCTTTCTTCTATAAAATAAAGCGAAGCAAAGCGCATGGCAAAGAAGCAGCAATCAGAGAAGTAAAGAAATGTTAGTTCAATAAAAAAAATATAAAATAATTTTCGAGCCCACAAGTTGCTTGTGTGCCCTTAAGGAATTTAATCCCCTCACTATTACCCAAGGTATGGATTACTTTTTCCCAGGATAGAATGGAAAAACTATTCTGCAATACTGGCAATCGAAATTACAGAACTTCAGCGAATTCAATAAACAGAGCAAATCACACTTGACACTTTGTTTATTTGGAAAAATAATGCAACAACGTAGACAAGAGGAGAGAAGTTTTCAGATTTTTCATGTATAAAAATGAGGCCAAGTCTCTAAATTTATAGACAATGAAAGGGTGATATGAAGAGGTGCAAGCCAAGAGGTGCCTCTTCCATTTTCCATTCACACTCTTTAGAAAAAAAACCCAACAATCCCCCACATGAATGGGGAATGGCCATATGTATAAAAATATGCATGAAAATTGTGTGATTCGCAAGCAAGGATTAATCGCATCTGGATAAGTATGTTTTCCTTTGAACTTTCCATAGTGAACTTATGTCGGATATACTCGGTCAATCGATAGAATTGATATTTTTGAACCTTCGAGCTTTGGTGTATACTTAGACAAACATAAGTCACACAATCAACCCTTATAACATTTTTGGTTCTCATTGTTGTGTTTGTTTCAGCCATGAACACCGTCTGATTTTATAAGTGCATATAGAATTGGCCTTACAGAACTCTCCTTGAAGCGGTTAACACTTCACACTTATCTAGGTGATTCCTAAACGTGTAATCCCATAGATACGCTATTTGATATATCCTGTATCAAACTTAGAACCATTACAAAGCCTTAATGCTTTGTCCTTGATACTGAACATTGTCTTCATCACGAGAATGGACCAAAGATTTATTTGACAATGTTGAACCGTCACTAATGACTTAATTTGATCTCGTCGAACCTAAATCTTGGGATCTCCAATCTTCTAGGTAGAGTTACCGCCACACTGAATTGTCCTCAGCCATAGTCTCATTCTCTTCGATAATCTCTCAACTACCTCTCTAGTTAGACCTTTTATAAGCGGATCCGACACATTATCCTTTGACTTTACATAGTCAATTATAATAATTTCACTAGAGAGTAATTGTCTAATGGTATTATGTCTTCGTCGTATGTGACGAGATTTTTCGTTATGAATAGTGCTTCCGGCCCTTCCTGTTGCTACATGACTATTGCAATGTATACATATAGGTGCTAACGGTTTGGTCAAAAATGGACTGTCTTCTCAGAAATTTCGGAACCATTTAGCTTCTTCACTAGCTTTGTCTATAGTTGTGAACTCAGCTTCTATTGTAGAGCGAGCAATGCACGTTTATTTGGATGATATCCAACACAACGCTCCTCCACCAACTGTAAAGATATATCCACTTGTGAATTTAGAATCAGCTGAACCAGTAAACTCATTTGTATCACTATACCCCTCAATTACCACAGAATACTTATTGTAGTACAAAGCATAATTTTGAGTATATTTCAAATATCTTAAGACCCATTTCATTGTCATGACAGTTCAATGCAAACTTTCTTTTGTCGTAGACTAATACATCTCAACTTCTATTACATATCCAATTATTATAACAACATTATATTATAACAGCAGCTGGATGGTTGATCTCAGTTGTGCCAACAACCGTTTAATATATAACACATTTCGCAACCACTCCCTCTTTTACTAGCATTTGTATGTTATTTATTCATATTCCACAAATAGAATACATGTCTATACGATATGTAAATTATAACACCTTCGTTCTGAAAGTACAAGAGGGGAGGTGAATATTATATTTTTAAACTTAATCTCTGTTAGTTGACTGGTTTTTCAATTAGTCGACTAGATGCAATAAACTAACAGTTTTAATAACAGAATATAAGATGTAAATGCAGGAATTAAAGACACCAGAATTTTTATACTGGTTCGGATTCAATGTGAATCCTAGTCCAGTCCCCTTGGGTAGCTAGGGAGTTCTCTTTAGTGAATGAGTTTCTTCGAGTACAATGGAAATGACGTGATAGCTTAGTTCCTATATCACTCATCTATTTTGATACAATGCCTCACCAGTGTTGTTCTTTCTTTCTTCTCTAACTTGTTACACAGCAGGTCTTAGAGAGCTACAATGTTTGTTTGCAGCAGAACAAAGAGAGGGTGTTTGGTTCGATCAAGGTATATTAAGCTAAGGTGTGATTACAGGTTTAAATACTTTGAAAGAGAGGCTTGAATTCTGGAAAGATTTGCCAACCTAAAAGATTTGATCCTTGGAAAGAGATTGATTCTTTCCAAAAATAAAGTTGTTCTGTAACGGCTCTTTGAACTCGGAATCTTGATCATCTATATTTAGGCACTTGATTGAATATTCAGCAAGATCTTGATTTATATGATTCCTTGAGTTTAGCTATAATTGATCCCATCTGTATCTTCTGTGATTTCTTCTTCCTTTAATCGCGTCCCTTGATTCCGTCAGTATCTTCACGATTGATTTCTTCTTCCTTTAACCGCGCCTATATTCCTTCAATCTTGTAACTCAATCCATACGTTTCCATACGTTCCTTGATCATTGCTAATTGATTTTGCCAATCCAAGAGTTCCTACACAAAAAGCAAATATATTATTTTCATCATTAAAATTAGATCTAACTATCTCCCCCTTTTTGATAATGATAAAATAATATATGTATAAACACCAGTTGACTTCCCTGTAGTTTGCTCCCCCTCAACAGGAGTAGTAAGTAATTTAAGGTGCATGTAGTCGACTGCATGAGTTGACTTCTCTGTGGTTTACTCCCCCTCGATAGGAGCAGTGAGTATCTTGAGGCGCATGTAGTCGACATCCTCAGAATCTATGACTCCCCCTCAAGGAGTGCCATAGTTGACTTGTTAAAAGACATATACCTGCACAAAATACATATACCTGCAGCACAAAATACATATACCTGCAGCACAAAATACATATATCCTTTTCTCCCCCTTTTTGGCATCAGCAAAGAGGGAATAACACAATAGCATGCATAAACAGAATCTATAGCAGAATGTACTGGTAGAATTAGACCATAACAAAAGAAGAAAGAAAAATATCCACTGACTGATATCTCAGTCCAAAAACAGCACAGTAAAAAATATTGTCTTAAACTTCCACACTAACGACGTAGAAAATAGGTAAGAGTGTTGCAGATGGCCTCCTTTAGTTGATCAATACTGGCGTTGGCTGAGACACTCATTTCATCAAGCCTGTCATGAACCTCCTTGAAAGCCTTGACAGCGTTTTCCCTAACTCTGAGAACTGCAACCCGTATTTTGGAGACATCAGACCCTGTTTCCTTGGAGATAGCATGAATGGTACCAACAGTGGACTGTGTGGCAATGAGAAGATCCTTGATTGCAGAGAGCTCTTTACCAATGGCGCTAATTTTCTCAGACAAGTCAGATTCACTAAGACTAGGATGAGAAGCAGAAGGTTTGGGCTTGGATTCTGTATGGGCAGTCTTGACATCACTCTCCTGTTTCTTGACCCATGAACCCTTCACACACACATACCCCATACTTGCAAAGGCTCTGGAGTTGTATGATTTTGAAACAGTGGTAAAGGAGTATGCAGAGAGGGAAATATTGTGGGCTTCCAGAATGTGGGTGATGGCCATTCCATATGGTAGACTGGTGAGATCTTCGGCACGTTCAATCATGAAATTGATAACCCAAGAGGACAGCTTGATTTTGAGTTTGGTCACAAGATAGTAGACCAGAAAAATATCTCGTAAAGAGAAAGTTGAGAAAGAGCCAGTACGGGGAAGCAGAGTAGTTGCCACAATGTGAGCTAGAACACGACTTTCAAAACTAACATCACTGGGACCTAGTTGGTTTGGAAGGGATTCAAATGGACACTCAGCAATACATCTTTTGGCTTGATCAAAAGAAATTTCAAAATCATCGGGCCAGGAATTTTTAAAGAGCATAGGGAAACCAGAACACTTGCATTGAAAGATCGAATCAAACATGGAACAGTCAAGAACAATACGCTTTCCTAGTACTAAGGATTCCAACTTATCAGACCTACTGGAACAAAGATTTGCATAGAACATTCTCACTAGAGGTTCATAGACTTTAGGAGGAGGAACAGAATAGAACTTTGACCACCCTTGATAAACAAACAGGTCCTTTACCTTACAATTTAGGGCTTCTGTGTCATCAAGGTCGACTACCCTCCCATGAGCA